ATCGCAATAATATTGCTGATTGACACAAGATATATTCTAACAAAAAAACAAAAGAAGGAAAAGAAATAAGGATAAAGAATAGTCTTATAAAAAAGAATAAGAAGAGCGAGAAGGAAAGAAAGGCAGAGATATAATCCCTTCTCCAAAGAGAAAGGGGAATAGATAAAGATACAATTAGGGTGATATAGAAATGTAAAGAAGCAAAACAGAATAAGTAGACAGTGGGACAACCAATCAAAAACGTCCACGTGAGGCAAGATGCTAATACAACTTCAAATCCAAATTGTACAAATGGATGCTCTTGATTTGTCGAGTATCCATTTGTACATTAGATACAATGTGACGTCACAGGAAAGGCTGACACTTTGGCTGGAGAGGCAATATAAATTAACAATAATTATATAATACTATGTAAATAAAAATCCTTTAATATATATATATATATATATATATATATATATATATATATTAGTGGTCAGTATATGTATATTAATTCACAAGAATAGAGAATCCCGGTAGAGTTCAATATCGAGGACAGAACAAGAATATAATATAAAAAGGCTCAAATACTAATATTCCATAGTTATAATTTATTACATTGGAATTGTAATCAAGACCAAATTCATCAGACCTACAAATTCGAAAAGCTTTTGAATTTGTAGGTCTGGTGAATTGGATCGTGATTATGATTCCAATGTAATAAATTATAACCATGGAATATTAGTATTTGAGCCTATTATATTATAAATATATATATATATATATATATATAACGTCATCCACAGACAGACTGTTTCGCTGTTTACAGCTCATCAGTGCGGCTAGACATCGAAACCCGACTGAATTGGTGTCAGTCGGAGCTTCTAACCACCAAGCCGTCGGCGCACGATAGGGATGAAGGTGGATTTTTAGCATATTTATTTTTTTAGAAACATGCCCAGTGACTGACAGTGACTCAATTCGCTTTCGTGAAGAGTCTCGCTATATATATATATAACAAATAAATATATATATATTTATTATATATGAATATATATATATATATATATTTATATATATATGTATATATATATATATATATATATATATATATATATATATATATATATATATATATATATATATAGTTATATAGTTATATATATATATATATATATATATATATATATATTATATATATATATACATATAGTTATATAATAAATATATATATATATATATATACATACATATAGTTATATAATAAATATATATATATATATATTCATATATAATAAATATATATATATTTATTTGTTATATATATATATATATATATATATATATATATATATATATATATATATATATATATATATCTTATATATGAAATATATAAGACATTTTTATTTATACATTCTTTTTATAGATATAAATATTTAAGTACCTGCTCTGTTTATAATAAACAGTATTAACAACATTTATCGGCCTGAATGTCTGAGAAATTTTCATAGAAAATATTCGTCCTCCGGTAAATGTTATTTAATACTGTTTATTATAAACAGAGCATTTACTTAAATATTTGTATCTATAAACAGAATGTATAAACAAAAAAAATCATAAATAATTGTCGGACTTTGTCCATTTCATAATATATATATATATATATATATATATATATATATATGTGTGTGTGTGTGTGTGTGTGTGTGTGTGTGTGTGTTTATAAAGAAAGTTTTTCTGTGATTTAAACGATTTCTTCAACATGGGCTCCTTTTTCGATAATTATGCGAATATCGGTCAAAAAGTAACGTTTAGTCTTCACTAATTATCAAAGACTTCATACTAGAACCATAGACGGTATTTTGAGATAGGGTCGCGTTTATCCTACTTTTAAGTACATTCTTTGACAAAGTCTCTTTCATTCTCAGACCTGATATCCCGCATTTGCAGACCATCTTCATCGATACTTTCTAAGCCACATGAGTTTAACTTCAACCTCATGAGAAAACCTTTTCCCACCAAGAACCTTCATCATTTAAACAAATACATGAGAATCACCGTTGCTCCAGGTTAAAATCTTTCAGCAAGAAAGTTTCTCTGCATTTTATCGATAGCTTTCTTGGAACAAACTTTACGTAGAACTATTACTAACCAAACGATTATACTCACATCAGAGAGCTATGTGCCATGTATGATACGCGATAGGCGATAATTTATCTTTCGATACATGACTGACGAGGTGGATTTTTTTTCCCGCAGCAGGTTGCCATTTCTTTCTGTGGTAGACCTGTTCCCATCCAAGGCTATAGAACCCGGTCTACCCTGCTATTTATCCATAGCTTGTGGGAGAAGAAAAGGATTCATACCTTTCTCAAGCCTATTAGCACGTAAGTGAATATAATGGCTTCGGCTGGAAAATCAGTCACTTATGTGCCATGTGAGATATACACGTTTAGGCGATCATGCACCCATAGCTGGGTTGGGGAAGGAGAGGATTGATACCTTTCCCAAGGGTATTAGCTCGTAAGTGAATGTAATCGATTCGACTGGAAAGTCAATCATGCCATGCGAATGTAATGGATTCAATCAGTGATACCATGTAAATGTAATGGATTCAACTAGAAAGTCACTCATGCCATGCGGGGTACACGCTTAGGTGTTGATGTATCTTTCGATACATGACTGACGGGGCAGACTTTTTTTCCTATTTCTTTCTGCATCCAAGGATATAGAACTCGCCTCTCTGATTCCTCAATCCGAGATGTAGCTGCGGAGAGAAGAGGATTCATACCTTTCCCAACGGTATTAGCAAGTAAGTGAATGGACTGAAATTCGAACTCGGCTCTCCGATTCCTCAATCCGAGCCGCTATCCATTACTCCACCATACCTGATCTGAAGATTATCACCAAGTTTGGCAATTTGAACTTATTTCATGTGAAATTATCCTCCTTGGCAACAACAGCTGATTTGCTACTGTTGAGTATATCACTGAGGTCTTATTCTCTTTGTTCGCTAGTATTTCCACTGTGTCAATTTATCAAGTGAAACCTCTCTATAAACATTCACTTACCTTTAGCGAATCTTTACTGTAATTTCACCTCTTCACCGAAATTCTATGATAGCATCTTGCTTTCTAGAACTGTTGTCGTTTAAAGTACCTGGGTGAGTGGGCCTAAATCAGAGAGGCCCACGCTGCCGTGTCCCAGTCTTGTGTTTGTTTGGGACCCGAGCAGACCCTTATTTAATGTCGCGGCTCGAAGAAGCGGGTCTAGTTCCATTCTTCGAGATAATAAGCGGGGTGGATTCGTTTTTGAATTTACCTCATTCTAGCCTTTGCCTAAAGAGGCAGAACCTATAAGTGGTTTGAATGCAGAGTTTTTTTTTTCTTTTCCTAGACTGGTTTCCAACCCTGGTTATAGTGTCATATCTGTCCTGCTAAATAACCATAGCTGTGGGAAGAGGAGCCCCGCCGTACAGTGAATCAGTTTTGTGTTTGTTTGAATCATTGTACTAAACCCCAACAATCCATTATTTTCTGTCACCGTGCGAACTAATAGGACCAGATACTTTCTTCGAAATGACATGTGGATGTGAATTTGTTTTTGAAGTTACCTAAAGAGGCAGGGCCTACAAAGCAGCAGTGTTTTGAATTCTGAGTAGTCCTGTTCCTACACTGGTTCCCATCCAAGGTTATACTACCCAGTCTACCCTGCTATTTTACCTATTTTAGCGCTAGAAGCGTGAATGTAATAAACTTGACTAGAATCCGAACTGCTATCCATTATTTTACCAGGCCTCAATTCAGAACGGTAGCTTTTTAAGTGGGTTATGAATTGAGAAAGAGAATATAAACTCTAAAGTAGGGTACTCTTAAGTAGTGTACGCTTAAGTAGGGTACTCTTAGGTAGAGCACGCTTAAGTAATGTACTCTTAAGTGGGTACTATTAAGTAGTGTAGTCTTAAGTAGGGTACTATTATGTAGTGTACTCACAAGTAGGGTACTCTCAAGTAGGGTACTCTTAAGTAATGTACTCTTAAGTAGGGTACTCTTAAGTAGTGCACTCTTAAGTAATGCAATCTTAAGTAGGCTACACTTAAGTAGGGTACTCTTAAATAATGTAGTCTTAAGTTGGATACTCTTAAGTAGTGTACGATTATGTAGGGTAAACTTAGGTATGGTACTCTTAAGTAATGTGCTCTTAAGTAGGGTACTCTTAAGTAGTGTACTCTTAAGTAAGGTCCTATTAAGCAGGGTACTCTTAAGTAATGTACTCTAGAAATGTTCCTGTTTATAACTAAAACAGAGACAATCCCTAGTATTTCTGAAAAACCATTTTAAAATTACATTAGACCAGGAATTAAGTTTTGATCGACTTTCACTGAAAACCAGGCCAATACCTCTGCTGCACACCCTGCTGAGTTCGATCTTCAAGTGCACTTACTGCATAGCAATCTGTATCTTAACAACGAACGTCTTTACTATTTGAGCAACAGCCTGTACACTATTAAAAACGAATGTCATTTATGAAGCACGGAAAAAAAGAAAGAAAGAAAATGATGATAAAAAATATCGAAGTCCATTAGTTTATTTAAATGGTTTTGTTAAAACAAGTTTAAGATTTGATTTTTTGGAAAAAAATACTCCTTTTAAACATCATTTAGTTAGCACATCCATTTGGTAAAGGATGTGATAGCTTATACACACTCAAAGATACATACATACGTGTGTGTGTAACGTTGTAAATTGTCATGATACGGAAACCAAGAAAAATAGAGAGCGAAATTGTAGAGGAAAATCGGTTAGTAATGGGTTACGAACAAAATAGGAAGTCGGTATGAAAAGCAAGAAAGCAACGTTAAAAGGCAATGAAAGTAGGGGTAAAGAGGATGTAATAGGAACAAGGAAAGTGAAAGTGAAAGTGAAAGTAAAGTCCATTTTACTCAATGGTATTAAGGGTCATGTGGAAACAAATTGCTCATGTTTCCCTGCAATCAAACCAAAAAGAAAGCTGCTCACCTACAGGTAGAAAACGATACGGCAGCAGCAATGGCGCCAACGGGAACGGGAAAGAAAAATGCACACAGAAAACAAGAGACGGTAAAAAGAAGTGAACAGAATACGGAAAGGAAGATATCTTTTAAGAACAATGGAATAGAACTTGAAGAATGGTGGACTAAGAGAAAAGAGAATAAGAGAGAACGAAAATATGACAAGAAGTGGGTGTGGGTTATAGAAAATGTATAAAGAGAGACCTGCAGATAAGTTATAGAAAAATGTAGAGAAAGAAAACGAGAAATAATCAATGAGAAAAAAAGATAATGTGAGAAAATTTAAATGAATGATGGAGGAAGACAGAGAAGCAGAGAGGTGTACGAAGATATTAAATTTGATGCGAATAAAGTAGGGTTTATTCGAAAGAAAACTAGACCGAGAATTGCAGAGAGGAAATTAAAAAAGTAATAGGTTAGGGAAATAAAATTAAAACGCAGGGAAGGAAAACAGAATTGTAGTCGATGATGAAAAGGTGAAAATAATTTTAAAAATTAACTCGAGTAAACGTAAAAGAATGGAGGATTATGACAAAGAGATCGAAGATGTGAAACGGGTGAAGTCAGGGCTATCTGAAAGAAACACTGTAAGAAAATTGTAAAAAGTAGAATAGAAAGGGAATGCATTAACGAAAAAGAAAAACGGACGATGAACGATGACGAAAAAAAGAAAGAAAGAAAAATGAAAAGAAGAAAAGAAAAAGTATATAATAAAATAGAGAGAGTAACAAGAATACGAAATAAAGAAAGAGGAAATTTGAAAGCGAATATAGGAGAGGATAATGTCAAAGAGAATAAGACGAAGAAAAAGAGAGGAGAGAAAGACAATGTAAAAAGATAGAAAGAAAAGTGAAAAGAAGAAAAGAAAGAGCGTATATAATAAAATAGAGATAGTAACAAGAATAAGAAATAAAGAAAGAGGAAATTTGAAAGCGAATATATGAGAGGGTAATGTCAAAGAGAATAAGACGAAGAAAAAGAGAGGAGAGAAAGACAATGTAAAAAGATAGAAAGAAAAGTGAAAAGAAGAAAAGAAAAGAGCGTATATAATAAAATAGAGAGTAACAAGAATAAGAAATAAAGAAAGAGGAAATTTGAAAGCGAATATATGAGAGGGTAATGTCAAAGGGAATAAGACGAAGAAAAAGAGAGAGAAAAGAAAGACAGAATGTAAAAAGATAGAAAGAAAAGTGAAAAGAAGAAAAGAAAGAGCGTATATAATAAAATGGAGTGAGTAACAAGAATAAGAAATAAAGAAAGAGGAAATTTGAAAGCGAATATAGGAGAGGGTAATGTCAAAGAGAATAAGACGAAGAAAAAGAGAGGAGAGAAAGACAATGTAAAAAGATAGAAAGAAAAGTGAAAAGAAGAAAAGAAAGAGCGTATATAATAAAATAGAGAGAGTAACAAGAATAAGAAATAAAGAAAGAGGAAATTTGAAAGCGAATATATGAGAGGGTAATGTCAAAGAGAATAAGACGAAGAAAAAGAGAGAGAAAAGAAAGAATGTAAAAAGATTGAAGAAAAATGAGAGTCGAATGAAAGAATTGATTAAAACTGGGAAGACTACACCCGATAGGAAGAAAAAAAAAATCGTGACAGAGAATTGACGTATTTTAAAAAAGTCAAGTGAACCGCAAAATTAGCAGAAAGAAAAAGAAGAAAGTTAAAGGCTTGAAATATATGTTCAAAAGTAAAAAGCAAAAAACAAAAAAAAAGGAAAAGGAAGGTACATCGAACGCTTAAGTAGACGGCGAAATTCGTAAAAGAGAAAGAAAGACAAGAAAAAACACGAGGAAATGAAAGATTGTCTGCGCTGTGTCTCTCGCAACGAGGCAGTTTGTGATTTGCAGTGACGTCATGTGTTTCATCATTGATCGGCAGTTTCAGTATAACACGAGTAATTTGTATAAGATGAGCCAAACTGCTTTAAAAAGAAATGCAGAAATTCGAGAAGCAAGAACGGAAATAAGACAAACGAAGAAATGGAAAATATAAAGAGAAAAAAAAACTATTTTTAAAATTGGATACAAAGAAGCAGGGTCATAAACAAGATCTGAAAAGCCAGGAAAGACGAATGATTTCTCTTTCTTATATATAGCGTGTCCCTACAGGACGTGGGTGTTCATGGTTCTTCATAAATTCCTATTGTCCTGGGAATGATGATAAACTGCATACGGCAGCAAGGTCTGTGAACGGGAGATTGGAAGTTCCACGTAGTTTCCAAACAGACGTCTTCAGGTTGGAATTCACATGTTCCTTCGATATAGAGCGCTTGCCAACCAATCTATCTATCTATCTATCTATCTATCTATCTATCTACCTATCTATCTATCTATTTTACAATCATATTTACAATCAATAAATGAAAATGACAAAAAACAATGAATTATATACCAAATTGTATAAACATCTTGGTCTCCTCATTATCTATCTATCTATCTATCTATCTATCTATCTATCTATCTAAGGTTGTATATATGTATGTATGCATGTATCTATCTATCTATCTATCTATCTATCTATCTATCTATCTATGTCAGTTTCTTCCTTGTCTATCTATTTGTCTATATATCTATCTATCTTTCTATCACACTGACTTTATCTATCTATCTATCTATCTATCTATCTATCTATCTATCTATCTATCTAAGGTTGTATGTATATATGTATGTATGTATGCATGCATCTATCTATCTATCTATCTATGTCAGTTTCTTCCTTATCTATCTATTTGTCTATATATCTATCTATCACTCTATCACACTGACCTTTATCTATCTATCTATCTATCTATCTATCTATCTATCTATCTATCTATCTATCTAAGGTTGTATGTATATATGTATGTATGTATGCATCTATCTATCTATCTATCTATCTATCTATCTATCTATCTATCTATGTCAGTTTCTTCCTTATCTATCTATTTGTCTATATACCTATCTATCTCTCTATTACACTGACATCTATCTATCTATCTATCTATCTATCTTTCTAAGGTTGTATGTATATATGTATGTATGTATGTATGCATGTATGTATGTATCTATCTATCTCAATCTATTCATATCAGTTCAGTATATGACGATAAACACCATCCGGTAGCAAGGTCTTTGATCGGTAGATTGGAGGTCTCACGTAGTTTCCAAACAGACACCTTCAGGTGTAAATTCACATGTTCCTTCTATATATAGTGGTTCTTTCTATCTATCTATCTATCTATCTATCTATCTATCTATCTAATTCTGTTCTCATCTCATCAATAGATGAATAGATATTCATCTATTGATCGATCAGTCTATCTCAGCCTCTTCATATCCATCTATCTATCTATCTATCTATCTACGGTAAGGCCTCTGATCGGGAAGTTTTCAGGATCGTGGAACCTCCTCTGAATTGCTGTTGCTCCCATTCATGGGTAAAAGCGGGAACCCCCCAAACATGAAAATATGAAAATACATTAGAACAAACTCTCAGCAATACATTTTCATCGTAAAAAAATATATATATATACCAATGCTCTCAAAATAAAATTACGTCATTAAATGGCTCATAAGGAGTTGATATATCATTAAACATAACAAACCCAATTCTATCATACATTGCAATATTTGCCTCCTAAGTACCACTTTCAGTGAAGCCTGAATCACCTGGAATAAAATGAATATAATGTGGAAATCTGATCTACCAGAATCTGGAAATCTGATCTAAAAGACAAACTCAAACGGAGATCCTTTCTAGTGTTGGTTTTAATGGATGCTTTCATGGATGTTTAATACATGTTTTAATGGATGTTTAATAGCTGGTTTAATGGATATTTAATAGATGTTTTAATGAATGTTCTAATGGCTGTTTATATAGATGTTTAATGAGTGTTTTAATGGATGTTTAATAGATTATTTAATGTATGTTTTAATGGATATTAATGGTGTTTTAATAAATGTTTAATAGATAGTTTAATGAATGTCATAAAGGATGTTTTAATGCATGTAGGTTTTAATGGATTTTTTTTTCTTGGACATTAACTAAAACCCTTGGGTCCAAGCTTGGTGGAACCTACACGCGGATGCTGATAGCTATACCTAACTTCTCTTGGAGACAACATCCAACTAATTCAAAGCTCTATCGACTCATTCTTGATATTTGTACAATCTTACACGAATGCAAAATGTGATCTGAAGGACCCTGCTGACGAGCAAAAACAAGACCTCTTGAGTGGTCTACTGCTCTGAACAATTAGCTAGGGAGCGAGACGGGCTGGTCGCTCAGCATCTACCTACATTGATCAACTATATAACAAAAGAGGATGAAAATGTGATAACTTTCTGACATTAATTATTGGCGGTCACAATTTAAACAACATAAGACATGCTTATGACATAGCTTTGATAGCAGAACCTAATGAAAACTACAAGAATTTCTACAAAAGTTAATGAAGGATAGCGAAAAGAAAGGACTAAACAACAAGGATGCTTGATTGTTAACAAAAAAACCCAGCTCAACGTATAATTTACAATTTGTAGATATCAAAATGAAACAAGTACACCAAGCAAGGAATTGTTTTAATCCTTGGCCTGTCTTGCGCATCATATGTTATTCACAGGATATGTGATTTCCACGTCCGTGCATCACATGTGGTGTATACAAGCCATGGTTTTAAAACAGTGGTAACACAAAAGATGCTTAAGAAAAGTGTATACTATTGAGCAGGACATCTAAGAAAAGGCCTAATCTAATAGTTTTGGCGTATATATTGATATAATGGAATATGCGTACACCTATGTTCCCCCTCACTGGAATATGATTGTCTGGTGTCCGGCCTAAATACCGACGGACGTGTAGGAGAGTCAAGAGCCTTAGTCTGAGAGTTAAGTCTATAACGACGCCCATTGGACTACGCTATTGATCTACACTTCTTACCTGCGACTACGACGATTACTGCTACCGTATTCTACTTGGTTATAGTAGCCAAAACCACTTAGCTACATCGTTCAAATATAACCCTTTCCGAGACATTTCATATATATATATATATATATATACAAAAGGTTCAAACACTACTATTCCATGTTTATTACATTGGAATCGTAATCACGATCCAATTCATCGGACCTACGAATTCAAAAAGAAATCGGAAATAACCCTGGTATAAAAAACAAAATTTTAGAGAGAGTGTATGTGTGGGAGTGGAAAACAAGGGTGAGAGGGAAATGTATGAGAGCTCTAGGGAGAGGGTGTAACAGAAGAAAGAAGAACAGGAAGGCCTAAAGGTGAAGGTGGGGATTCAAATTTAACAGAGAGAAGTTTCAAAGAGAGGAGTTAAATAACGGATTAATTGAGTGAGATACAGAGAAATATGAATTATTTTCAGATGCATAAATCACTACCGATTCGCTGACCTAAAATTAAAATGAAAAAAAAAACAGACACCCAGAGTTATATTTTCCGATTTCTTTTTGAATTTCTAGGTCTGATGATTTGTATCGTATTTACGATTCCAATGTAATAAATTATAAATTATGTATGTTACTTTTAGTTGAAGCGACTCTTAGGAGTAGTGGTTTTGAAATCATGGAGAAGACGAAAGAGGCCCTGACAACTTCCCTGGTTACAGTCTCAATAGAGACCTTGCTCTCCGTGACTTTTTGTGTTTACCAAGCTGAAGAAAACACCAGGGCAGTCGATTTGACGACACCGAGAACATGAACAAGGCTGCGGCAAAGGTCATGATTACCTTTTCAATGCAGAACTTGCTCTCCCTTGTATGTTCCCCAAGTTTAAGGAGAAATTTAGGGGCATTCGTTTTGACGACATCCAGAAGACCAAAGTGGCTGGGACAAGGGTTCTGGTTTTCTTCTCAATGCAGACCTTTCTCTCCGTTACTTTTGGATGTTCCCCAAGCTGAAGGCGAACCATAGGGGCATTCGTTTTGATTACATCGAGAAGGCGAAAGTGGATGTGACAAGGGTCCTGACACCCTTATCAATGCATACCTTTCTCTCCGTTACTTTTGGTTGTTCCTCAAGCTGAAAGAGAATGTTAGGGGCATTCGTTTTGACGACATCGAGAAGACAAAAACGGCTGTGGCAAGGGTCCTGACACCCTTATCAATGCATACCTTTCTCTCCGTTACGTTTGGCTGTTCCACAAGCTGAAGGAGAACATGTGAATCGTTTTGAAGACATCGAGAAAGAGGCTGTGACAAAGGTCTTGAAAACCATCTCTTTGGATGCCTTCCATGGGGCCTTCATGACATGGCTGGAGCGCTCTTACAGGTGTTATGAAATCAGAGGAAGCAGAGGAGACATGGAAAATGCCTCCTCTCCTTCCTCTGACTTCATTAAAAGGGAAATTATTCGTCTTTCCTGGCTTTCAGATCTTGTTTATGACTCTGCGTCTTTCGAAGGAGATTAGGTTTTGCATTTTGAAATTAATAATTTTCTCGCTTGATAAAATATGAAAACTTCTGGAAGGCATCTCGTAAGTTATCGCGGGAGACTAATGACTAAAAACCGTTTAAATCACTTACCAAGATCTTACTACATATTCACATAGACATCATGTTCACATAGATATCGTATTGAAGGAGACGACTGTGACCACACCCTTCAAACCACTGCTTGTTATGAACTAAAGGTTCGAGTTGAGAGATGTGCGCTAAAACTGTAACCCACTATCCGTACAATCCAGAGCTTGTTTCTTGTAACTTTTGCTTATTTCCAAACTGATGAAAAAACCCAGAGGCAGTAGGGTATGTTGATGTTTTACGTTTTTGAGAAAAAACAACATTGCAGTCTTTATGAAATGTGTGGTTCGTTGTGATATCTACTAACACCAAAAAATAGATTAATAGTTTTTAGCAATTTTTGAGCATTTTGTTTTAAATATCGCCTGGAGAAAAAGGACAGAAATACCTAACTTCCGCTGGTTTTTGCTTAAAAAACTAACTTCGACATTTTACTATTTCAAGAATAAATCCAAATAAAGTTGATATATTTTGTATTACATAAATTGAATGGAAAATATGTTCAAACCAGAATTCTA